AATATTCCATTGATAACTCAAAGAGATGATAGAGAAGATTTATAGCTCACGTGGATGATTTTGATGGAGTTTTGTTCTCTTAGCTGGATGGTTTGGTCGTGGAGCTTTCATCGTCCTTCTGAACGACATCATCAGCACATACTTCGGGTAGAAGTTTCTACTGACGATGTTGTTCAGAAGGACGATGAAAGCTCCACGACCAAACCATCCAGCTCAGAGATTAAATAACTCAAAGAACTTCGATTTATCATTGTCTTGTAACGGTACTTTTGAATAATAATTTTAACCCATAAATAAAAAAATCATTTTTTAACAATTAATTATTTTTGGAATCTACCTATTTAGAATGTTCTTATTTGCAGCCAAGTTACTTATACTCTTGTTCTCCCTTCAACTGTTACTAATTACTGACAGTTATATATTGTTTATTCCAATGACAATGAACTATTCCATTCATAAGTAGTTGATGAAAGAAATGTACTCAATTTACAATCATCATATGTTCAATTTTCATAGATTAACTCAAATAGTTCATTTGTTAATCAATCAGTTTAATTTATTTTTCAGAATATGTGTTATAAGCACTTTAATAAAATGAGATTTTCATAAGTCGTCAGTATGTTGTAAATCTTCCTACTCAATATATGAATATGGTGAATTTGTATATAGCCTTTTTTTTAAATTAGTACTGTTTTTAATCAAAATCTACCATAACGGTTTATTGGGTTTTCAGTATTTAGATCTAGTCATGCTCTCAAAAAAAAACTGTTTTATTGATTGGTTAGTAAAAAAACCATTAACTAAGGTCATATGTGGTTGGGTTTGAAATTACTGATTGTCACCTTTTTCAGTAAAAATGGAAAATAACTCTAACACGATAATTTTATTGTTTCATAATGTTTGTTGTCAATGAATTTCCAGATCTATGATATTGTTATATCTTGTGGCCGAGTGGATGGGCTTTTATACAAACCAAAGTAATCAATAACTGAGTATAACTCAAGAATCGTATGATAATAAATCAAAGATCAAAATAAAGCTCATGATAAGAGAAACACAAATATGAATCGTTTAGTTACGTAACAATTGTACAATAGGAAATACGCATAATACATTGGTTGATAAATAGTCCTTAGAGTTACCATTCATAATTCACCAGGGGATATAACACCTCCCCTTTTTGAGAAATCCGAGCTCCTCCTCCCCCACGAAATAGTGTTGGATCCTCATATACCCAAGTTTCTATTAATGCGATTCTATTTATAACATGTTTCTGGCATTCAATAGGGAACCTGCTAAGATTGACTGGATGGTGAGGATCGGCATTTGATGTGAGGTCAGAATTCGATTCTGCAGAAATGCAGTCATTAGACTTATTGCAAACATCACTGGCAGGTTGTGGATCACTATGATAAACAGCGCCCACCAAAACTGCTCTAGATTCCAGATTTGATGCATGTAACAAATTTTCTGGACAAGATTGGGAATCTTTATCATTAGATTCGGTAAAAATTTCTATTGCAGAATGCTACTCGCTCCGTGTACTGCTTGATATTATGTCTGGTACTTTTTGGGCGGTTAGTACGACCATTTCATGGGCATTTGACATGGCATCATGTTGATGAGAGCTCAAAGCGTCACTGTTCGGACCTGCTAATTCAGGAATAGTGGAGTTTGAATCCACTACCGGGCACGTTTCTGAAATAGACGTGAATGGACAACCGGGCGTCTCTTGCGAGACTGCTGTTTCGTTTGAGTTGCGGCTGGTCGAGGATTCATGGAGGCTGCGATCATTTTCCAGCTTTGCGTGAAATTCTGTGATTAATCCATCCACTTCCGACGCATATGCAAAGAATTGGTGATCCAGAAGCTGTGTGCGTAGTTTGACCATGAACTCCAAATGTCGGTCAAATAGCAACTGTAATCGGTCGGAAGCGAGCGTCATTTTTCACTGTATGAATAATGACAAAATGGCATTCACGGACACCAAAGAGAATGTTGGATGCTGATTGCACCAAATGATTGCCTGATTTTCGAACAATTACAAACTGACCTTTTTTGTCTCCGTCGCCAATTGTTATATCTTGTGGCCGAGTGGATGGGTTTTTATACAAACCAAAGTAATCAATAACTGAGTATAACTCAAGAATCGTATGATAATAAATCAAAGATCAAAATAAAGCTCATGATAAGAGAAACACAAATATGAATCGTTTAGTTACGTAACAATTGTACAATAGGAAATACGCATAATACATTGGTCGATAAATAGTCCTTAGAGTTACCATTCATAATTCACCAGGGGATATAACACCTCCCCTTTTTGAGAAATCCGAGCTCCTCCTCCCCCACGAAATAGTGTTGGATCCTCATATACCCAAGTTTCTATTAATGCGATTCTATTTATAACATGTTTCTGGCATTCAATAGGGAACCTGCTAAGATTGACTGGATGGTGAGGATCGGCATTTGATGTGAGGTCAGAATTCGATTCTGCAGAAATGCAGTCATTAGACTTATTGCAAACATCACTGGCAGGTTGTGGATCACTATGATAAACAGCGCCCACCAAAACTGCTCTAGATTCCAGATTTGATGCATGTAACAAATTTTCTGGACAAGATTGGGAATCTTTATCATTAGATTCGGTAAAAATTTCTATTGCAGAATGCTACTCGCTCCGTGTACTGCTTGATATTATGTCTGGTACTTTTTGGGCGGTTAGTACGACCATTTCATGGGCATTTGACATGGCATCATGTTGATGAGAGCTCAAAGCGTCACTGTTCGGACCTGCTAATTCAGGAATAGTGGAGTTTGAATCCACTACCGGGCACGTTTCTGAAATAGACGTGAATGGACAACCGGGCGTCTCTTGCGAGACTGCTGTTTCGTTTGAGTTGCGGCTGGTCGAGGATTCATGGAGGCTGCGATCATTTTCCAGCTTTGCGTGAAATTCTGTGATTAATCCATCCACTTCCGACGCATATGCAAAGAATTGGTGATCCAGAAGCTGTGTGCGTAGTTTGACCATGAACTCCAAATGTCGGTCAAATAGCAACTGTAATCGGTCGGAAGCGAGCGTCATTTTTCACTGTATGAATAATGACAAAATGGCATTCACGGACACCAAAGAGAATGTTGGATGCTGATTGCACCAAATGATTGCCTGATTTTCGAACAATTACAAACTGACCTTTTTTGTCTCCGTCGCCAATTGTTATATCTTGTGGCCGAGTGGATGGGTTTTTATACAAACCAAAGTAATCAATAACTGAGTATAACTCAAGAATCGTATGATACTAAATCAAAGATCAAAATAAAGCTCATGATAAGAGAAACACAAATATGAATCGTTTAGTTATGTAACAATTGTACAATAGGAAATACGCATAATACATTGGTTGATAAATAGTCCTTAGAGTTACCATTCATAATTCACCAGGGGATATAACAGATATGTTTTGTTTCGAACCGTTATTTTATCGTTACAATCAAGGAAAAATATGCAACTATGGATAGTGTACTTATATTCACTTTGTCAAGTGTTTGTGTCTCATTTCTATGAAGGGATGTAAATAATAAATCACTTTTCATGAAATACTTCATTTTGCTAACTCATTTTGTATAGGTTGAGTATCGGTGTGAGCATTAATACTGTGTTTCAGGTACATTCAAATAACGAATCCCAAATGAATAAAACTCTCATCGCGGATCCCATTGCTATCCACAATCCATCTATCCTGTAGAATTATATCACTCATTTTCTAGAACTAGTATCTTAGTGGATTTAACATAAAAACACAGTAAACTGAACTAATTACTTACTTACGCCTGTTATCCTTCGTCGAGGAGCATACACTGCCCATTAGCAGTCTCTATCGAACTCTATCCTGGAGAGTCTTTTCCAGTTGCAATTCATCCTTTCGATGTCTACTTCCGATTTTCAATGCAGCGTGTTCTTTGGTCTTCCTCTTTTCTGTTTCCCTTCAGGATTGATAGTTAGTGCTTGCTTCGTGATGCAGTTTGATGACATCCGCAATGTATATCCTATCCATTTCCAAAGTCTTTTCCCAATTTCCTCTCCAGGTGGAAGTTGGTTTATTCTCTCTCACTGTTATAACGTGTGTCTGAATGCCCTGTTTATATATGACTTGATGATGCCGCCAATTGGAGAGCAGTGATTTATTGATCGGACTAGTGACACACGAAACCCTTACGAGCAGTCTAGAGTACTTGTCGGTTCTTCTTATGCTTAGCCCATCCAGTTAAGTCCAGAACACCAAGAACAGACTCTGCAATATGAATCATTATTCTCAAACATACTGGGTTTATACACCAATCAAACAGACTATATCGTACCAGGAAATAGGAAAACATCATTTGTACAGATTTGGCCAAATGTAGTTGTGAATAAGGGGAACATTAATTAATAGACTAGGGATAACTCAGGAATGGCAAATCGTATAGTAATAGTCTGTAGGTCAAAATAAGGCTTATAATAAGAGGGATACGAATATGAATAGTTTAGTTGGTTACCAACTATACAATAAAAATATATGCATAGTATTGGTCCATAAATAGTCCTCAAAAGTTACCATTCATAATTCTCTTTGGGATATAACACTCGCAGTAGGTTATTCCTGATGGTTTCCAACAAACTGACATTGAGTATCTTGCGTTGTCAATTGTTTGTAAATACTTGGCTCATCTTCAAATTATTGACCAACAGTCAGTGACTTCATGAAGTGCTGAGATGTAGGAGTCAAACTATCAGCCGATTTCCTCTCAATTTAATTTTAATTCATATGATAACATGAGTAACGCAAAACATGATTACAATAATTTAGGGTTGCACTACACTGAAGCTGTACTGTGGAGATACATGTAATGAAATTTAGTACATGAAATACTGAACCATAATTTAATCAAAATATATAATTTCACTGATTGATGACACCATTTGCTTATTTTTCATTTTTTTGTTTTCCTTTCATCAGGAGATTTTAAAAGTCGTCACCATTCTGGTGATGAATATATTGATGATTTAACCCCAGAGGATATTGCAAAGTACAAACTAGAAATCAATATGGATGTAAGTTAATGATATATATATCTAATGTAGAAATGTTGTCAACCCTATACATAATCGTTAGTTTGTATGTTGAAATATAGACACTAAATAATCATAATACTTGCAATAATGAGTTGCAAAATCTAAATAGTCGTCAAACGGAATTCACAAAATCTTCAAACGTCTTTAGAATGTGTAAAAATGAGAAATCGACAATGAAGTAATAAAGTAAATGTATAATAATGTGAATAAGCTGTAAATTCGTTGAACATCAGAAAGGCAAATTTTTGTTGACTCCTTTGCCCCTATTTATTTATTTATTTATTTAAACACATAAATATTGGTACAAGGAAGCACCAGATAAATATGCGCCTCACAAATCTCATTCGATTTGTGTGAGGGCTATGATACTGCCCAGGTGCCCAGACTGAAGCAGGTGGTTTTCTTAGGGGGCCACACCCGGAGCCTTTGACCAAAAGATCTGATCCACAAGGCAGTGGAGCATCGTGAGGAGATGCAGTCCCATGGTAGCCGGTGACCAACAATAAGTTCATACGCCATTCGTTCCATCAGGATCCTGGAGCCCATGTACACCATTGGTTTGGAATCAGGTTTTTCCAACTCCCCTAGTGGACCGTCCGTGTCCACCGACTCAGTTGAAGCTCTGGACATTCGCTTTTCGTCCTCTCAATTTCGTAAACAACAGTGATGCCACGAGAAGGCAGTGAGTAGGACTTCCCTGGCAGGGGCTATATATTCTCTGGCCATATGAGAGTATTTCGAGAGGGAGAGGTGACTCTCCCCACTCTCGGCCGTACCAGGGCATTTGGGGGCCTTTGCCTTTGCCCCTATGGATTATGACATTTCGGTTCCATTCATGGATTGCTTTCAATATTTATGGAAAAGAACTTTCTGGTATGGTTTCTTTAAAATAAATTAAAAGTTTAGAATAATTTAGACCAAATATTGACCTCATATAGACTACATACTAACTATAATGTCGTTTCTAAACCTTGTACAACACTGGAAAACATGAAAACCAATGAGATATGGCCAAATATTTGACTTAATAATGATTATAGCATCCTTTCCTGATTTAATCATCTCGTATCTTTATTTTTAATTTTCATTGTTTCGTGTGTCAAATTATTAGATTCTCAAAGAAACTTTAGTTTTTCTTGAAAAAGACACTAATTTTAATTAACTTATTCACATCATTTGATAAGTTGTTCCTTTAATCACTTTACATCCGTTTGTCAACTAAATATTTTCAACTAAGAGATTTACGATATTATTGGAACGTCTTACAACGATTGCCTCCTTCTGATTATAGGTTAGTATCAGATAATTTCACTATGTAATTTTATACATAATAGGATATTTTACTTATTTCCAATTACGCCTTTTTTAACTTATACTCAACATAATGTTAATATAAAAAATGAAGCCAGTGAAGAATCATTTGGCATCATATATCATCTGATATCTCTAGTTTCTTTACGTATTCTTTGTTAACCTTTCAAAATGGTTATCTGTAAATATTATATTTGTATTATATTCAACACTTGAAATGTATTCATAGATTTTATAATAAATCAGATTGTTTACTAGCAAATGTCTTGATAAAGTTGAAAATGGTTTTCGTTAAAAACTGACACCGGATCTGGAACGATCGAAAATAAACGAGCGTTGAGCATCTGTATTGTCTTTATTCAGAGCATAATAACACTTTAATGAATATGAAATTTTGCCTAATTATTACTTAATAGAGATTAAGTATTTGATGTCTTTGAATAACTTAGCTCCTATTTAGTCTATTTCAACATAGATTAATAAGCATTTATTTGACTAAAATTTATATAATGCCATTACAATTAGGCGATTCAATATTTATCTTGTAAATCATTCGACTATATTTTACTCAGGATCCATATACTCAAAAAATATTATCTGTTGTTTTAAGTATATGTGAAAATTAGAACAATATATGTAAGCGAACTATTGTTTTCAATTAGATCGTCATCAGGCTTTACTCTAATATACATGAATATTTATATGAAAATGTTAGACCAATCAAGGTTATTTGAGTCAATAATAATCACAATGAAATAGAATACGTTACCAAGCAATTAATAGACTAGTCTATTGTACTTTTAACCATTATGCTTGGTAACGTATTCTATTTCATTGTGATTATTATTGACTCAAATAGCCTTGATTGGTCTAACATTTTCATATAAATATTCATGTATATTAGAGTAAAGCCTGATGACGATCTAATTGAAAACAATTGTTCGCTTACATATGTTGTTCTAATTTTAAGTATATGTGTTGGGGATGTCAAATCCCCAGAACTTACTTGGTAGATGGCTTAGTTTTGTAATTTTATTTTGAAAATTTGAATTTAGCTGTTTTCGCGCCAAAAGCGCTCTTTTTACCTTCACGTCATATTTCCCACTTGTAAACTATGTTAAACGCTATTGGTCCATTGTTTCTTTGTGTGTGCTATTTACTAATGATGCTCAAGGACAAATTGTTGCTGTATAAATGCGCTTGACTTTTTCCCTTATTCGATTGCTTGTACTCGGCTGCTTGCGGAATACATACATAGTCCCCTACTTGCCTTGGACTTCTTCATCTAGTTAGCGGGGCCCGGGATAACCGATTATATAGCTTATCGTGTCATTGGTTTTCGTTCGTTACCGCGGAATCGATTTAGCTCAAGCATAACAATATGAAAACTAGTCACCTAGAGATAAAGGGAATTCATTATGAATAATTTTAATTTCCATCAACAATCTTTCATTTGCTTGACATCAAAATACTAAACCTTTCCTATCTTTTAAGTAATAAAAATTGTATGACTTTTCTTATGGTTCCTTTACTTCAACTTAAAGAAGTGCTCAGAATTACTGTCACTTCAAATGACCTCTGAATATAATTTCTCTATGTCTAACTGGCTTGCTATAAAAGTATGATCTAGTGATTTATTTTATCCCACTTCTTCGAAAATCAACCTTAATTCTTTATGAGCTACTAGCTGATGCTTGGCAGTAATTTTCTCTTTGTAAATACGAATATAACCGATATAAAGAAATAAATATCAGGAAACATCAAATTAAACTATCATGCTTGAATAAGACAAATTAGTCATCTACTCAACTATTCAGTGATATTTAATTAATATGTCCATGACTAGCATCTCAGAACGTGGGAATTTTAAGCTGTTCCCAAAATAGTTCTGTAAAATGCTTCCAATAATGATTGTTGTGTGTTTTAAACTACAAGTGTTTGAATTGATGCATTTCTGAATCCAGTTTGTGTAAGTTTACTAAACACTTAAGTATAGGTAGAGAAGTTAATTTATTATATTTTTATAAAGCTAAAAAAACATCACATGAAAATCAAATCTAAATAAACTCATTTAGTATTGTTTGTTTGAATCTTCCCATCGATGTGTTATGACTGCAACTGGTCAGTCTCTAATTAACATTATGTGCATACTGTGCGTATTGCCTCGATATAGCCTTAATTCACAAGCATGGTAAGCAGTTGCAGTCCTAAAACATCGATGGTGTTACGTCTGGCCGGTTGAACGCTATATTCGCTTCCCTAAGCTAGTTCCGTACCCCCGAGCTAGAACTATACACCGACTTGAAGACCAGTGAAAAGGCACAAAGTGTGTGGGAAGCACTTTACTATAGGGTTCATTTATGTACAGAAAATATAGAGTTTTTATAGTAATTTAAGAGTCCTTGAGTTTTACCGAAAATTCTAGAATACTGCTAAACATAGTAGCAGTGCATTAATCAGCCAATCAGGATCTCCACATGTGACTTTTCCATTTTCGTTATTTTAGTAACATAACTTCTAATTAATCGCTGATTGGTTGAAATGCTCCTTGATGACCCATGAGCTTGTCATGTCGGTTGCGAGAAAATTGAAGGGTCATCCCAACAGATGGGAAGATTCAAACAAACAATACTAAATGAGTTTAAACTTCACCCATCGCACAAGCAAGTGGCTATCAGGACTCAGTGGCCGAGTGGATAACACGATGGCATTTGAAGCGAGGGTACTGGGTTCGAGTTCCAGAGTGAACATCAACTCTGAGATGCAGGTACATCCAGCTAGCCACTATCCATCTCTGCTTACAAATCTAAATAGTTTAATTCATATTTATAAAAAAGAAATTGAGTTTGGTTCATTTCACTGATCTTAAGGTAAACATAATTTCATTTATTGAATAAAAACTTTTTTTTTTCCTTTTGTTTTAACAAATCATTATGCCGATGTTCACTCATATTCATCGTTTTGGACTCCATTTCTATATAAATATATACACACACATAATGGGTAATATATTTCTGATCTTATGCATAAACGCTATTTAATCTTTGCATATTTGATTATTCTGCTTGTATCTGTTACACAATATAAATGAATCCATGTTATTATTCGTTGTTGCATTTGTTCTATAATGGATGATTACTCTGTTTAATAATGATTTCTATACTCATTTATGTGCACTTATCAATTTTAAAAAAAAATATTTTCCTGTTATGGATTATATTCACTCGATGTGTAAATTATGATTTATTTCATAACACATTACTGACATCTATCAATTCTTCTATTTCTTTTATCAATCTCTTTCTGCTTTAATCATGATGTCTTATACACGAATTTTATATGATATGCATAGAATTTCATTGTAGATCGACCTATTCTACCTGATCCAATATTATCTGTACCATTATCTAAATGGCAATCAGATGATTTGTTATTAGGTTCCGATTCATCGAAAAAATTTGATAAATTAACAAAGTTTTTTAATTGTCGTTCTTTTACTAATGAATTTCAGAAACAACCACGCTCTCTAAATCATCATTATCAACATCAACACCGACCACATCATCATTACTACAATCATCCCAATAATCGTTATCATCCACCTCATCATAAACAAACTCAAAAGAATTATTCTAATGCTCATTACACACAATTATATAATTCATCTAGGAAAGAGCCAGTTCGTCCAAATAATAAAATACGAGACTCATACAGTAGTGGTTACAATACTAGGCAATATCAAACTAACGAGGTAAGTATTTACATAACAAACTACCCAATACATTTTTTTTCTAACTTAAAGTATAAACATTTGTCGTATCTCGATTGACCTAAGCTCTTCACTTCCAATCATGATTTTCATAGTTGAAAGCGTGAGTCAATTGAAGCAAGACCACCATCGAAAACCTGGAAGCACTGGACGGCCGTTTCGTTCTATTGTGGGACTCCTCAGCAGTGTGCATCCACGACCTCGCCACGCGAGATTCGAACCCAGGACCTACCAGTCAAGTGCCAGAGCACTTAACCGATAGACCACTGAGCCGGCATCCGATGGTGTTTATATCTAACTCCAACCAATCCACGAAGTTGAGCAACCGTTCACCAGTGGTCTTCAGTGAGTTCCTATCTCACAGCAGACGTGGTTTGAACTTCACTGGTCACTGCTTCTCACTAGAACTCCTAGATTTAGCTCTCGAAGTCAGTCACTAGTGAGCATATGATTATTATTATCAGAACGGGTTTTTGTGGAGATTTAGTATTTTCTTCAATTGACTCACATTTTCAACTATGAAAATACAAAATCTCCACAAAAACCCCTTCTGATAATCATGATTTCCTTGGTTCGAATTCCACAATATCTCCTATGCTAACAGATCCGTATATTTGAAAGTAATAATTGCTGAATTCATGTTTGTCAAAATCTAGGTTATAATCATGTAGATTCTACCCATAAGAAAAGGAATCGAGTGTTGTTCCGTGAGACACCATGAACTGATCAACGACAAACCATTAGGTTATCCAAACTGGTTTTATGTGGAGGCATCTCTTTTTTTTACAGTAGTGTTTATTCTGCAAAATGATGATCGTTTAAAAAAGTGTGGTAATTCTATGTAATCCTTTTACCAGTCGATTTTTAAATTGATGCATAGGATATGAGTTTTGTAGCCTGAAATATAGTAGTTACTGACGTTTACTAATAACAGTAATTAAGTCTAGCCACGACTAGATCTAAGGATAGGAGTATAGTTACAAAGGAAGTTGCATCTGAGTAAACTGTTTAATAGCTAACTTTTGAGGCAGGACTGTATATATATATAAATTAGATAAAGATATAAAAACCAAATGTCATCCTAATTCTGTTGGTTCCTTTTGAGTGATACTATATAGTTATAGACATACATTATCCATTTACAAGTAATCGATTGTGTTGAATGTCTGTAAAGTAGCGTAAATAACCCTGTGTTCGTTCTTAGAGTAGCGATGTAATTCCTATTGGGTTACACTTATCTCACCCCCGCTATTTGGAACGTTCATGCACTGTGCTGGTAATTCGCTATTGACTTCAATACTGTGAACGAAACTACTTCTATCCCCTTCCTTTTCCTACCTTATTAACTAGGGTAAATACACCAGTTTGGCAGATGAAACTCTTTGATGTTGACCCAGTGTAATCAATCAAACATGTCGATTACATATCAATAAAGATATTTAACCTGAGCGTTTACCACTAAAACAAATCATTGTAAAAGTGTATTAAAATCCCATGAACAGTGATCATACTGACTAATTTACAGTAACATAATACCGACTTAAGTAAGACTGATTTTCACTCGGAGATTGGACATCCTCAACACTATCACAAGTATCACCATTTACATTCAACGTTACGTATAACTGACAGTGAGATTTATACTTAATTATTTGCAAGATGGCATCTCAGACTGCACTATTATGGATAAATCTTTCTTAATCGTCACAATGACAGTACGGTTTAATCATCATCATTTAATAGTTTAGGATCACCATCCTCGCTAAGTTTTTATTTACCTAACAAACAATTCGAAACAACCTGGGCACCCAAAATAATATGCACCACACACTCACATTAAGTACCATATTTTTATACGGGATGCCACTAAATACCCTTAACAAAAGCTTCGTTTCCTTAACTACCTCCACAAAAATAAGCAGTACTTGAGTAACAAGTTGAAAAGGACCATGAATGGAAACGTAGACTCAGAGGAGTGTTTAACCAAGTCCATATATATGTCCAGTTAGTTGACTACTAGATGTATAGCCTAATAATTTTCAATTATATTCTATGTAAAGTTGTTTATCAAATATGTTCTATATTCCAAACTTCTGAAGTATATGCTGTTTGTAGAGATAGACCATTATCAATCTAAAATACTTTAATATTCTCATTACAGGAAAACAAGACTAGGTGTTCCACAAACAATGATAAAATTCCAGTGAGCGAAATGAACATTAATGAGGATATTCAAGTTGGTACTGATGAACCTATTCAAACAAACGATCCTACTGAAGATTCCCCATATTTCGAGCTCGACTTTGCTAGCGGAATTTTCGACGTACATATTCATGAGAGGGCTAGATCTTTTTTAACTTTAGGTATCGATGACAGTGAGCTTTCTCAAAATGATTGCTACACAAATATATCTGAATTAAGTACGCACGGAATGCATCGAAGTCATTCTCTTCCATCGCTAAGAGACTTGGAAAGAAATAACCAGCTACATTCATTTGAGGACTGTACCACACCCACAGCCAGCCTTAATACTGGAGGAATTGAAGATTTATCAACAAAAATTAAAGCAGAGACTATATCAGTAGAAACGACAAATATAAAATCTGAAAATAACGTAAATGTATCGAGTGCAAATGTTTGTGGTAGTGATGTAGCACAAGAATGCAATAATATGGAGGACGAAAATCGACGATAACGCAATGATCTCGCAAAAATGTAATGTTTGAGTAGTCTATGGATTGGATCACTAACAGTCAAATGTATAGCCTAATTGTTTCACTTTACCTCTTCTTAGATTTTTTTACTTGTATGACCTCGAAAATGTTTTTACTTATTGTTATGACATCGCCTTAACTGTAATGAGATACTTCACTTGCTCCTTTGTGATTACGGATTAACTTGATTAATGATATAGTTTTCTATGATAAATTTATTGATAAATGAAAGACCATATCAGTAATGTGACATTTTTTCGATTTCTTTAACATTTAAAACAAAAACTGTACAAAAAACTAGAGCGTTAAAACCAATAAGTTAAGAGTTAGTGTATAGTGATGATATAAGTAGGAATTAACTAACATTTGAGGAATACAAATTATGAAATTCAATTTTTGAAATATCATGCACGCAAGTGTAATCCGATGCACTTAAATATTCTAACAGTGTAGCAATCAGTCAATAGTTCGATTACATTGGAACATATAACCATCATATTTTTATTTTCACCAAGTAACTAGTACGTCAAAAGTTATTGTATGTTTGACTACAACAAAAAACAAGCATTGCTCTAGTTCACCGTGTGACCCAGTTTTTAGAATTCTTAATCACTGCCGGGTAGGCCGCTGTATTACAGCAGCATATTTTTTTTAACCTCGTGATATTTTTTCAACTATTTTAAAGTAAAAGATTTTTTTCCCGACAGATTTTTTTTCTTGGGCCTGGCGAACGAGCAAAACACACACATACAAACTATTTTAGTCAAACAACGACTAACATTCTGACAAAGTCACTCAGATAGAATAAAAAACATGGTAGGATATGCTCTACAAGTAACCTAGCTAATGACGAATCGTAACACGTCAGAATATATGAGTGCATCTAGATACACACAAACGTACATACATTACATAAGTTAAAATTTTATAATTTTGGTTCAAAGATTATACAGAAAACGCTTCAGGTGGAATTTTACCAGCCGAATTCATAGCTTCGAAAGCAGTTAGTGCAGCATTAGTATCCCATTCATATTCTTCTAAACACTGTCTTGAAAATGGAATGTTCATACCAGTGCGCCGACTAAATTCAGTTACCATATTTTCTTTCACTTCAGGTGCAGAAAGATCAGAGCTGAGAACATTTTGCTGTTGATTTGAGGTCTGACTGTCCTGTTTGCATCTTGTGGCCATTTCAGTAATGTATTTCTAAAATAAAATTTTCAAGTTAGGAAACAATTATTTGAAGTTTAAATTTACATTATTATTACTTTTATCTGATAGGGTTATTTAAGGCTAAAGAACGAGATCGTTCATTTCAATACAGCTCAGTAGTGTTCAACTTTTTCACTAAACTAGCTACAAGACAACAACTTATTATGACTCAGGCTATTTTTATAAGGTGCAGTATAATAATACTAATAATTATTCAGCACTACGAGATGTTCTTTCTTGTCGTGCTTCTTTACAATTGCTATAATTTCGCCTGCGGCTATACTTAGCACTATGAAGTTAGTTAACCTCATTAAGCAGATAAGTTAAAAAGCCAGAGACTAGTGGAACTATATAGAAAAAGATGGGACAATGATTGAAGTTATGACTAAGTGAGTGAGACGATAAGTGGAATATTTTCAAGAACTCTTCAAATGGATTTTGTGAATCCCTACGGTCTAAATAACTGGAACAAGACAGCAACTTTCAGCGAAGCAGAATAAGATGTAACTAGGAGTTAGAAAATAACAAGCCGTAGAGAGTTCGTTTGAGGGACCTTTAAGGGTGATTATTTAGTTCGACAAATCAAACGAGCTTTGTGTGGCGCATATGTATCTGGTGCCTCTTTGTACCAATATTTATGTGTATAAATATTCGGTTAGATTGGTGGAAATGTGATATAGAGTTTAGGGGGTTGAACGCCATTCCATGTGACTGCTCTTGACCGATGATCATTTTATAAGGAATGACTAGGAACATTAAATCTAGAACAGCCAACCAAGTTCCAGATCCGTTATTGGTAAACCGACCAGATATTAACTCCACAACCATTCCTGAAATATATTCTTCTTTATCAACATCTGACCGGACCCATTTTCATTTAATTAGAGATGACTCCATAGACTCAGATACTGTCGTATAACTAGGTACGTGAACCTACAATGGACACTTTATTCAAAAACTACTATCTGAGAAAAAGGCTACTGTAAGGAATAATATGAGCCGAAGACATTTAGTGTCTGTCTCAACTATTTACTTTTCTGGATTTTTTCATGGATATATTTCTAGGGTTAAGACTTTTTTGTTTAATTATGGAGGAATTTATGAATGTTAAGAATTGATTAAAATCTGGTCTGGATTTATATCTGAATTAACCATAGTGAGTAAAGCAGTTGGGAGTATCAGTCAGTCAGTCACAACGTAGAACTTCGTACGTACGTATATCATTTCGAGTTGCCGCACAGAGTTGGGAGTATTGACCATATCATTTACCTTGGAAGTTCTTAGTAAGTTAGTGCCTAATGAAATCTCGGCATGTCTACAAATGGCTCATTTAGCTTCTGTTGATTTGTATAAATTCTGGTCTAGATGAGATTAATCTATCTACTTAAGAGGGTATACTGATAATCAGTTTGTTTTATGTTTACTTATGGTTATGGAATATACCTTTGTAAAGTATATAAATAAGTCCTGAGTGCTTCATAATAAGTATGTCTGCAGAATTGCTTGAGTACAGTATAGGAATAGTATAAGGGTTGTAAACATTGATGTGAGTTGTGATGGGTTGAACACGTGTTACGCTACAGTCTGTAACTGGCTACTGCATTAAAGTTGCAACTGACTCAAATCAGCAATTTTACTATAATACCTTACAGTAGTTTTATACACCTTATTATGTGGATATATATATATACTTTATTGGTATACATTTACTTTATTGAAACGTGTATCGAGCCATATACACCATCTAACAAACAAAAAGTTTCACATTGTTTGGTTTATAAGGTGCTGCATGTATGTGCATAACATGGGAAATTTTTTGTAAGAAATGATATGCGACAGCGATACGTAAATAAGTAGCATTTACCTTACACAATGAGGTAGTTGGATTAGACACAATATAATCATCTTGCACTATATGACCACCTGGTGCGACCAGTATCATAGTTCTAGTAAAACACCGAAGGACTTTGCGAACGGATTTTTCCTGTGAGCTTGAGTTGGTGGAACTTGAACCCATCGAAGAAACCTCGTAAAAAACACCACCCATTGTAAACAACATTTGAGTTCCCTGTTAATGAGACAAAAACAATATGAAATATAAATAAATATATTTGTAATATCCCAATGAGTAGAAAAAGAAATAATATGAAATATATATTAACATCAAGATATAAAATTCCGCCTGTAACTTTTATAGAATTACTGCAATAGACCAATTTAGTAGAAAACAATCATGCCAAAAAAAACAGAATAAATAAATTCAACCCTTTAAACTCCGCCCTGTAAGCTGAAGGATCTTTATTTAGAAGAATTAAATAGCCTTATGGTGAAAGCCGTGATTCTTTACAAGTCACAAATTCGAAACCCCTTTCAACAACCACGGCAACAATTAATATAGGAAAATGGATTGTTCGGACAATGTGGCAGACTTGGAGGACCAATCAACTAGCTACGGGGATGATAAAATACAACTTTGAGGTTTTCGAAATAAGTGAAGCCCATTGGACCCACACTGGACAGAAAATATTAGATTCGAGAGAGATGGCGTTGTACTCCGACCACGAAGAAGAAAATGATCCACACACTCAGGGAGATGCTTTCATTCTGTCCAAAAAAGCATGTTAGGCACTTATAGGATGGGAATCTCATGGACACAGGTTCATCAGAGCATTCTTCAAAACAAAGAAGGAGGGGATCACAATGAATGTTATCCAGTGTCATACACTTACAAATGAAGACAATAAAGATCAGTTTTACAAGAGGCTGCAATCGATGACAGCAAAGTGCTCAAGAAAGAAACTGAACATCCTGATGGGAAACATAAACGCCAAAGTCGGAACGGAAAACATCGGAAATGAAGATATCATGGGACGAAATGAGTTTTTGAAGCCCTGTCAATGTTTATAGTGTAGACATGCGTGTAAGACAAATTGGTGTTCGACTGGTGTGAAGGAGAAAACCGAGAGTAATTTCAGAAATATAATAAATCAGATATCAAAACAGCATGGCCATCAGAAAAATCAGTAGGACCTGACAGCATTGAAGCCAGACACAGAGATAACTGTAGACATGCTCCACGTTCTATTCAGGAAGATTTAAGAGGAAGAATGAGTGCCGACAGACTGGAAAAATGTATACCTCATCAAGATATTGAGGAAATATCTTAGTACTACAGACAGACCACACTACTACTAATACCAGGAAACGTTTTCCACAGTGTTGTTGAACCGAATGAAAGGTTCAGTAGACGTCCAATATCGAGATCAACAGACCGGATTTCGTAAGCATCGGTCGTATAAGGCTCAAATAACAATATTGTTGAACAATCGAATAAATGGAACTCGTCACCATACATCAACTTCCTTAAATATGAGAAAGCGTTTAACAATGTGGTGAGGAGAACCTTACAGAACCTTCTCCGACACTATGGTGTACCTGAGGAGATCGTCAGCACCATCCGGAATGACAGACGAAACTCCAAAGTCGTGTATGGAGGACAGTTGACTAAAATATTCCAAGTGAGGACCAGTGTCACACAAGGCTTTTTACTCTTCCCTTTTCTTTTTCTACTCATGGTTGAGTGGATTATGAACACCTTCACATCCCAGAAGAAGTACGGAATACAATGGACAGCTTGCATGCAACTAGACGATTCAAACTTCAAAGATGATCTAGTCCTTCTGTCCCATACACATGAACTAATGAAGGTCAAGACAACCAGTGTAACGGAAGCATCTGCGTCAGTAGGCCTCAACATACACAAGGGAAAAAGCAACATCCTCAAATATAACACGAAGAATTCCAACCCAATCACACTTGGAGGACAGTTGACTAAAATATTCCAAGTGAGGACCAGTGTCACACAAGGCTTTTTACTCTTCCCTTTTCTTTTTCTTGATGTGGAAATTCTGGAACAGGTGAAAACTTTCACGCACCCATCTGGGCAGCATCATCGATGGACAAGGAGGATCTGATGCAGACGTAATGGCAAGTATTGGCAAAGCAAGGACTGCATTCATACAGCCGAATAACATAT